TCAACACTTTCCATGAATTGGAGAATGAGTACTTGTAATTTCTGAGTAAATTTTGGGTTTCAGTGAATTTACAGTATTGGGCCACTAAATTTACTTCATGGACCTAAACAGATGAATGTAAAATCTGATTCCACTAATCACGAGGTTTCCTCATGGCCTGATGGGTGTCTTGATGAGTCAGTTCTGGATGTTTGTTTTGGGAGTCGAAAGGCGCTCAAGAAAGCGCTAATGAAGGCTTTGGCAAATGGGCTCGAACGGAGTAGAGTCTGGTTGATATTGGATTTTAGGTTTTTTTATTTATTTCTTTATATAAGTTTAATATATGAAGTTTTCATGAAAATAATAATTAGAATAATAATCGTAATTTTTTTTAAGATTTTAATTCAAATTAGCAATGAAAATAACGATGAACATTCATTGGTAATCATCAACGAACTTAATCTGTAGATAATGAGTCGGAAAAATTTGTTGCTAATATTGTCGCTACTTAGAGATGGAAATAGTTGTTGGTAACACTGACGGGTTCTTCCATCGATAAATTATCGACGACCTAAGTAATTTGTTGCTAGATTAACGGCAAGGGTATTACAATCGGATTTTCAGACTGATTAATTCAGTTGGTAAAATTCCTTAGCGACAAAATTTAAGGCATCAGCAACAGAAATTTCAGTCTTTGAAGCCGCATTATTTTGTAGTAAAAAAGACAAGACTTGTTCTATCGATTATTGTTTCTTCTTTAACAATCTCTTCTCATGAGCTTTTAAGGTGTCCACGACTTCATCAATAGTCATTTCTTCCAAATCCTTCGACTCTTCAATTGCCACTACAATAAAATTGAACTTTTCATGTAAAGATCGAAGAATTTTTTCGATCACTTGAAGATCATCCATTTCTTCTTCATATCTTTTCATTTCAATGACAACCACCAAAACTCGTGAAGTATAATATAAAATTGACTTTGATTTCTTCATGGAAAGTCCTTCATATTCTCCTCTCATAGATTGGAGACGAACCTTTTTGACTGTGCTTGCATCTTTATAGGTGTTTTCAAGAATTTCCTATGCTGCCTTTCTAGTAGTAGCATTCGAAATCCTTTGAAAAATTGTATCATCAAGTGCTAGATGAATCACACTAAGAGATTTTTATCCTTCCTCTTAGTTACTCGTTGCAAATCTCTTTGGGCTTGAGACAATCCTTCTTCATTTTTAAGTTCAAAACCTCTCTCTACCAAATCCAATGTATCTTGACTTCTAAGATATGCCTTCATATGAATACACCACTTTAATTGTCATTTGAGAGACAATTGTTGTTTGCCATCTCTTCTTCTCACACTTCTAGAACCTCACTCCTATACCACTTTTGTTGAAAATTTGGAGATGGAAAAACTTTAAGAGAGGAGAGAATAAATTCAAGACAACAATCAACTTTTCATTTCTTGAATTGACTTGTATCAAAATGCTAGAGTCACAAGCATTTTATGGGCTTTGCAAAGCACATAACTAATCTAGTACATATATCCACCATTATTATATTCTTCCTCCTATTCCTAGGATCGTAAAAGAATATATCATATAATGAATATTCAACTAGTTCACGAATCTGTTATAGGTGTATTCATTAATTAGAATACATGTATCTTAACAATGCATGAATATTATAAATCTTATTACATGAACCAATTTAATTATAATCAAGTTTACATTTCTAACAAATTCATTTAACGAGAGGTTTCACATGTGAAGGGAAGTTATATTTTCAAAACTGGAAGGTACCTTCCAAGACAGTTCATTGTTTTTGAACAAAAAAACCTTCGAATTCCAAAGCTTCACAAGATCCTCAGATATCTGACTGGGCAACCTTTTCCACCTGAAGTCGAGATAAACCAGGGATTTCAAATATCCCAACAATTTTGGTGTGGATCCTGACATTTTATTGTTGCTAATGTGAAGCCAAGTTTGGAAGGATGAAGTATGGAGTTTTATATGTAAGGAACCACTAAGAAACCACGGATGGATCATAAGGATGCATGGGCTTGTGGTGAAGGAGCTAAGATCTCCACATACGCTCTTTTGTGAATTCGGGATAATTCATAAGGTTCACACTGCAAAGTTGTTACTACTAGCTAGAAAAGCATACTCAATTTGCTTTCCAAATCTGTCACTGGCTGTTGGAAGTACATGAAAGGAACCACTGAACATATTTCACAAAAATTATAAATAATGTGAAGCTGAGTTTTGGAAGGATCGATAGATATGAGGAATTATTTTATTTTTTTGAAATAGAAAATGCTTGAAATTGAGGTATAATAGCTAGAATTAAGGAACATACATTCAAGTGCAAGCATTCTACATACTATCTTTTAGAAATTGGAGATAAATACAGAAATATGTTTCACGCTGATGTCGAAGACGATCATATGAGACACTCGTCCACTCAGTCGATTAGAACTGAAATCAAGAAAATGCATGTTATGACATTAAATGAACACCTCAAGATCTTATGGCCATTATAAGTAAGCACCTGGACCAGTACCATTACCACAAGAATAGAGGTGACCATTGGATGAAGAATGTTCTGTGTACATATGTCAAACAGTTTGTTACTTTCACAGAGCCAACACTTAAATGGAATTTAGAAATTGGCATAATTGGCATTCCATGTACAGATGTGTGCAGAATGTGCATTTCCCAGGTACAAAAATTCTGAAAAATTAATGAACTACGTAACAAACAATAATATTTAACCATGACTTTGGAAAATCTCATGCTGTCTGCATATTATCCCATTTTATTCACATAGTATATCAGTATATGTTAGTCAAACCATAAAACAAATCATTCTGAACATCAAAATTTATGTCTGAGAAGAGAATTTGATTCCATTGGAGCGGACTCATATGAATTTTCTATGCCATGTAGTTTTTGTATTTTCCATTAATTTGCATGTATAAGATTAAGAATTTTTGTGTTTTTGCACCAGCTATTTGTAAAACAATGGAAGCGAGGACTATTTTCACTAAGTAAAAACCTAAAATAAAAATAAATAAAAACACAAGGTTTAAAATAAAACTGCAAAAGAAATATAGGTTGAAGGTAGCCGATTCTCTCTAATTTTATATATTAATTATGTAAATTAGCAAAAATATGATTAACTAAGTCAACAAAAAAAATATAAAATTTGCAAAGATTAGTCGGAGGCCATAAAATGGGGACTAAAAACGATGTCATGTCCTTTCTTCGATTGTAGCTAAAATAGCATTATTAATTTGGAATATAAGATTTCGAACGCATTATCTTTAAAAATAAGAGGTAAAAAGAGAGTGAGTAAGTGAGCATTTAGAATGGGGCAGGTAAGGAAAATGGTCTGGCCGGCTTCATTGTACAGTTCATTTTATTTTTTTCATTGGTTTGGTGTGACTTGATCATGGGCAAATTCCTTACTTGAGTTTCAATTATTTTGACACAATTATTCTATTTTTTGGCATTTGCTTCTTCTCTTGTTGTACTAATTTTTGTATCAATAAAATTTGTTGGGGTATCCAAAGGCAATCCCATTTGGGTCTAGGTAGTGTGTAAGTGCAATAAATGTTTATAGTGTGTGCGCTTTGTTATATTCTCTAAACTAATTTATTTTTACATATTCCATGGATAATGGTGAGTGTGTCGTGGGAGAATAATCGAGCTCCAAACAATTGAACTGAAGTTCAAAGCCCTTTACGGTTGGAGGAACAATTTACCCAAATTACATATTTACCTTGGTGAATTTTATTGTTAATGGAAATATCCAGTTGACCAAAACAGTGAAAATTAAAAGCCCCCGACGTTAATAATTAAATGTTGTTTTTTGTATATTTTCAAGCTTGTAAATGTTAATCCAAAGAAGATGCCAAAGCATATCCAATGTTTCCTTGACAGATGATTCAAGTTCAGGATATTGATTTTGTCCTTTGATATAATATTGTATTCATTCTTGCATAATACTGATTCATATGACACAGAATTAGGTGTCATTTCATTTTCCATGAGATCATGTATGGATCTCAGTAATTTCCAAATGGGAAGAAGAAATTGAAGTCAAAATCACTAAATGAAACCACACAATCCGTCAACTGGATTTCAGATTTCATTCGAAAATTTGCTCCCAGCATGAGGGCCATGTCCGGGTTTTGCATTTTTCTTTATACGGCCTTTGGACGGTCACCTTAAAAGGGCGAGCCCAGTTCGCTTTAAGTGCAAAATCCCCTTCAATCCAACAAATCGAACCAACCCAAACTAACTTGGGGCAATTTGAGTCAATTTATTCATCTTTTAAATCCCAACCAAACTGTCGATTCGATTATCACATTATTGTGTCCAAACCAAACCCAACTCCAGCCCTAGACATACTAGACAATACAATCAACAAAATTTTAACTTTCTTGTGTATTTCAACTGATAGCCACGACCGCAACGATAAACTAATCCGTCCACCATCCATCCTAAAGACTGAAATTTTCATTGTCGAAAAGCTAATCACATTCTCACTTCATAAAAAGAAAGAAGATACCATTAGTAGAATTTGCAGGATATTCTGCTATCCATATCTAAATCATGATCAGAATACATTTTTACAGCAGAGAAGCATCTGTATCTAAAATAAAGTGATGAGCATTTCAAAGGCATAGATGGACAAGCTATCTTGTATATTCCCAATAACACACTTCACAATACAAACGTCCAATGAATCATCCAATCATTTTTGTTCTTAAAACTATCCAATCTCCCAAACAAAAAATGCTTTTTCCACTACAAGAAATGAAATAAAAACAGAAAACTTTACACAGAATCCCAAGCACAAGAAAGTTAGACGAGAGATGCCAAAAAGTGCCAAACCATTCGGCTCGGTTTACACCTCTATGCTCTACAGATAGCAATCAATTTGCATGGTCCCATGAGCAATGGTTTCTATCATCCAACTGGGAACACTCGAATGCCATTCGAGCTCATTGAATCCGATGAAAAAAAATGAAAGATAATTAAATTTTATACTAATAAATAACACGATCACAAAAGTCTACATTGAACCAAAAGTCTGCAATAACAGCCTACAAGAAGGCATTGAAAGAAAGTAGATGAAGCAAAGGAGAAATTGTTATCGAATTTCCATCACATCATCACCTCCTCACACTCCACAAATTGAAAAATACATAGTCCTATCTTCTTACATCTTGATCATTAATTAACAAGTGAAAAGGACAGAGGACTAACATGGTTAAAAAGAGAAATATACGAACCAAGCACTGAACACAGACAACCTCGACTACAAACAAGAACAAACCGATGGAGATGCTTTGCTTTGTGACTTCAGATATAAGACCTCAAGCAACGCAATAAGACCATTGTTCATCCTCCACAGCTACAGAATCAACACTGGGAACAAAGTTATCATCATTGCAATAGTAGTAACCATTGCCCCCAGCAGCAGTCAGGCTGCAAGAGGATGCAGCCATCAGATAGGGCATGTTATCGAAATACCGGGCAAGGCCACTAGCCAGAGCAATGCTGCCACTAGAATCATCATCACCGTTGTTGGCAAACTCCTCTGCACGGTGCTTCAGGGTCTCGAACATGAGGTGGGGCTCAAACTGCATCATCCGGAGCACATCACCACAGGATGGGCCAGGGGTAGCGTGAGTCACGGCGAAGCCGTGTGGACCATCACACTGAGACACGCGCACCACACTTGGACCGCCAAACAGGTTATGAACTCCCCCAAGTGCCTCCTCATAAGCCCCACCCAAGAACATCCCCAAATAGTAGCTCCCACCATCACCACTAATACAACCATTGCCTTCCAATTCATGCAGAGGCAAGCTAGACTCACCTCCTACGAATTTGTCGATCTTCCCATCACTATCACACGTCAAGTCCGACAAAATTCCCCTCACTGCAGGACACTCATCTAGCCTGTGTATTGGAATAATAGGAAACAACTGGCCAATGCCCCAGAAATCAGGAATAGAGGTAAAAACTGATAAATTCATATGGTAAGTGCGGACAGGATCAGAACCCTCAATCACCTTGGAAACAAACTCACAAAGGCCATCAACTGCAGCCAGCTGTTCAATCCCCAAAGACCCTTCTTTAAATTGCTCCACACACCTATGTTTCAGCTGCTCTGCATAAAGCAAACAAGTATCATTCTCACCTCGAACTGCAGCAGCATATAAATTATGATAATCAGCAAGAGCATCACTAGGGAGCCTCTCAACTAAGTCCTGAAGTCCATCAAAAGACATAGGAGGAGACTGATACGAACTTGCAGATATAGCTTCGAACAGAAGAATTGAATGATGAGACACAATTGCACGGCCGCTTTCACTGCAAAGCACCGGATGTTTCACACCCTTGCGATCACATACTAACCGAACGGCCTGAACAACAGCTGAAGCATACTCTTCAAGACTATAACCAACAGAAATATCAGAATCCTGAGATTTTGAGCCATCGTAATCGATTCCAAGGCCTCCACCGATATCGATGACATTAACACAAGCACCGAGACGGACTAATTCACAGTAGATTTGAGCAGCCTCACCAACACCATCGGCGAGCAAAGCAGTAGATGGAATTTGAGATCCAATATGGAAATGCAGCAATTGTAAGCAATTCAGCATTTCAAATTGTTCGAGCTTCTTAACAACGCGAAGAATTTGAACAGTTGTCAAACCAAATTTCCCATTCTCCCCTGAAGTGGACCCGAAATGTCCAGAATGTTTAGTCCTCAGCTTGGCACGAACACCAATCACGGGACGAACACCAAGTTTCCGGCTGATATCAATCACAATATCCAGCTCTTCCTCTTGTTCGAGCACGATTACAGTGTTTAAATGCAGCTTTCTAGCAACCAATGCAAGCGAAACGTATTCTGCATCCTTAAATCCATTGCATACCAGAAAGGCCTCCGGGCTTCCCTTACAGAGGCAGCTCATGGCTAAGAGGAGCTCAGGTTTGGAGCCCGCTTCAAGCCCGAAGCGGAAGCCTGACCCAAAGTCCACAATGTCCTCAACAACGTACCTGTCTTGATTGCATTTCACGGGATAAACGCCCTGGTAATGGGCCTCATAGCCATGCGATTGGATTGCAAAATTGAAAGCTGACTGCAGAGATTCAAGCCGATTTTTTAACACATCTGGGAAGCGCACGATGAGAGGGAGCTGAAGCCCGAGCCCTCCAGAAGATTTCGGCTTGGAGGCTTTCTTCACGACCTTGAGGAGATCTATTTCCTGGTGAGCCAGCGTCTCCACACCATGAGGTCGGATTGAAATATTGCCCGAGGAGTTGACGGTGAAGTAAGGAGCTCCCCACCCGTCAACCCGGTAGAGGGCGGCGGACTGAGCTGGTGCCCAGGTGGCAGGCATGGCAACAAAGGTGGCGGTAGTGTTTGTAAACGTAGGTACGCCGGAGGAAGAAAACACCTCCGACGTCGGAAGAGTGCTTTCCCCGGCAAAGACGTAGCCAGGAGGGGGCTCTACTGAAGCGTCTCCGCAGCAAGCCAGGGCCGGCATCTCTTTTCCAATCAGAGAAAAGAATCAAAGAATGAAAATTTCACAAAAAAATTAGAATTATTTTCACGATTTTTAGGAATGATTTTGTAACAGCTGGGGGCTTTAAAACCCGCCGAGGCCGGAGCCCCGGCTACCCCCTCAAAAGAAGCAAAAGGAGATCTTCGTCACAATAAAATGAGAGCCACTCGCACTCTTACACGACCCAAAAATCCCCACGCCTACCGCTCAGAAGAAGATAATTTCAACACCACAAATTGAAAAAATGTACGAAAAGTGAATCAGTAACAAATCTAGATCCAGAAAACACACCCCACCATGCAGATCCAGAAGCAGAAACGAAGAATTTCGATTGAAAAATGGTAGAGAACGAGGAATTGAGATTTGACGGAAACCTAACGACGTTTAATCAGGAAAACCAGAAATGAAGAATTCTGATTGAAAACAGATGAAAATGGAGAGGGTTGAGGATTTGAAACTTGACGGAAACCTAACGGCAGTGCGACGACGAAGAACGAGGCTAGGGTTTGTGTATTTTTTGGCAAAAGAACTGAAATGAATGGCGAGTGAGTGAGAATTGCATGAATGGCGAACTGACTTTATATAGGAAAATTGGGCGGGGATTCTGGGCTGGCCATGGGCCCATTTCTGCCACCTAATTAATCTCCATTTGTTTAGCCAAATGGTAATTAAATTCATGGTTGAAAAATTGATAAAGATTGATATTTTTATAAAATTTGTGTTTAAAATTAATTGTTTATTTTAGCTTAAAATTGACTGAAAATATCTTGTTTTTCATTGTTTTAGCCCTCTTTTGGCCTCCTATTTTAGAAATTTTAATATTTTGAATAATATTTTTTTGAAAAATATGTTGTAAAAAAAGAAAAAAAATGTTCTATGTGTAACATCATTTTATTGAAGATTGTATGATTAAAAATAGTAGGGAGAAAAAAAATTGAAGCTTAATATAGGAAAGACAATTTTTATTTTCACTTTATTTTCGTTTGCTGTATTTGGTGGGTAAGAGATTCTTTCACGGCGGTCAATCGCCGTCGGGTTGCCGCGTGGCTAGAGAATCTGTGGGACCTACTTTTTTGGCTCTTTCTCTCTCTCTCTCTCTCTCTACCTTCAATTACTGCCCTTTGTTAACGGTTGGTACTTCTTCCTTTTATTTTTATTTTTCTCTTTTATTTTTTTGTCCCTTTTTTGAGGTTAAGCCCTATTCGGCTTTGCTAAAATTAAAATTTTATTATATTTTAATAAAAATATATATATGAAAGTGTAGTTTAAAAAATAGATAAAAGTTTGGAATTTCATTAATAAATATATAATTGAAAATAAATTTTGAAAAATGAGCACCCCAAATAGAATTGTGGTATCACTTTATTGTGAATGCGAGCATATTTTGCAAGACAAAATAAATAGTTTGATCACGATCGATTTTAAGTGCTAATCGTGAATATTGATGAGTTTGATGACATTTCTTCTCCTGACTATAATATTAGGGAAAGTGGTTGCCTCGTCTACATCAAATTAAACGTACTTCCATCTGTAATTTTAGAAAAATATTATTTAACATTAGTGGTACTAAAGTACTAATTTATGTAACTACACTTTATAATTTTAACTAAATTAATTATATGACTTTGCATTTAAATAAATATATTATTTAATGAAAATGTAACCGTCACCTAAACCAATGTTCCGCACGAATGATGATAAATAGTATCACTCATAATTTTATAAACAATTTCGTAGTGGTGTCAAATATGTGGTTGTAAATCAAATTTGAGTTTTTTGCCCTCAATTATTATTTCTTTATAATTAAAATGTTAAAGTCGGAATTTATTTTATTCACATTTCATAAAATTCACAATTATTATTAACTCATTTACGTCTCATTTTTATTACCTTATAATTTCACCGACGTATAATAAAACTAAACAAGTCACGAGTCAATTCCTACTTGTTATAATAGAAGTACTGTTGTAGAAGAAATTTAGAATTGAATTTTTTTTTCCTTTATATATATATATATATATATATATATATATAGACACACACACAAACTTACAAAAAGAGGAAAGTGGGAGGAAGGATCTCTCCAATTTGGATTTTCTATAAAGGAACCTGATTGAAGAAGAAGAAAATTTATAGTAGAAGGTGCACATGATTTTCGATTAATGATAATTTAAATTGTGATTTTTTTAACTCGATTTTCTTAACAATTTATCACACCATACTCGTACGGTATTTTGATAATATTGTGTAAAATTAAATATGAATTTCTGAATTATGGAGTAGGGAAAACGATGAAGTTGGAAGAGACACCCAACTGCGTCAGCTAACATTTTCCCCAAAAGAATCTTAAATAAATTTTTTTTTTTGACTGAGTCAAAATCTATTAAATAAAAAGAGAGGGTCCCATTAGAACGCGCAGAAAACACGTAAATAAAATAAGACAGACACCTGCGAATGGATAATCGGTGAAGGGGGCCCTCTTGGCCTAAACTAAATTGTAAAATGGCTTTCACGTCCACAATTGTAATCTTAAAAGAAGACCTCAAATTAGATTCCAACAATACAGATCATAAATTTACTTGAGTTCTTAAAATATACTAATTACCCAAAGATTCTGTATCACCCTACAAAATATATAAATGGAATTTTCTATGTCCCATTAGCACAACACGAGCTCATTTGATAACCTTCAAGACTCTACTTTCAAAAGTATATTTTTACTCCTTTGAATAAAAAGTACTAAAGGAAATAAGGTTTCTCTTCGAATCTAGAACATGTCTCGTTGCATCAAGTGCTCTAACTGCCTCATCAAACATCTTTATTTAGATACGACTAATACCAACAAGATGTATTATTACTGCTCATCACAACACCTTTTGTAACTTCTGCAAATGTTGAAAACAATTTCGAATTGGATGACATATGAAAACTGCTAGTTATATCCAAAATTCTAGCCTCATCAAGTTTGGAATTGTAGTCAGACCCAAGTAAAAGCTCTCCTTTACCGTGAAAAGTTTCAACAATGGCTTCACCTGAAATATATAATTGCTTTACTTTCTAAAGTGTTGTAGCCAAATTTTCTCTATTACACAACTCATAATAATCCTTAATTAAGTGCCCCAAATTCTTGCAATAAGTTTTGAAGTTTAACCATAATTTGCCCCTTGTACAACTACCATCAAGCACAATGCCAACTCCATGAACCTCAACAATATACTTCATCTTCTCCTTTGAAAATAGAGCATTAAAGACTTATTCAATAGTAAGATCAAGACTATATAAGCTTGTGGTTTTAAAAGACCAAAAACAAAGCAAGCAAAAAGAACAACAAAAATCAATCCCATATAAATGAGCCCCACTTGCCTCTTAACTTGTCACCATGAAAATCTTGTACTGCGATCCAATAGCAGAATATCATATTTCATTGTTGTCATCACGAAAAACGTCAATCTTTCCAAGAATTTCAACACAAAAAACTCTTATTCCACTTGTTATAATCCGAACCAGATCTAAAATCGCTTTATTGAAAGCAGAACAGCTTTTATACCAATTTATTGAGAATCGAACCAAATAATTAAAAATGAGAAAATATTGGCAATACGAAAATAATGGATCACAAGAACACAAGATTAAAATAATTTGCAGAGAATGAAGATTTTATTATAACTTGTAGTAAGCACATGCATTGCACGTCTTATATGCAGAATGAATAATATGCGTAATATTTCTAAAGGCATATGTTAATGTTAAAATAAAAAATTAAAATAGTTAAAGAATATAAATATAAATAAAAGTTTTATGAAAATTATGTGCATAAAGTGAAAAATGTTGAATAAATTGGAATGTAATGATTTGTTTATACTAGACTTTGGTTGGACCCCTATTTTCAACTATTCTAATGACATCGACCAATTTCATGGTACAGATAGACACTAAGAAAAATCAAATTAAAAGATGTACATTTGATTAAGTTTAAAATGTTTACGTATAAATAAAATGTAAATAATAATTTTCAAATTATAAAAATTCCTTATTTTGTCTGTAACATAGACTTTTTTGCCTAAAAAAAATTTAAAAAAAGTATATTATTTAAATATATTTAGAAACAAAAAATTACATACTAATCATGCTCGTCATATTGATTCATAGCATTTATTTTAAATTAGAAACCAAAGTTACATTCAAAATAGATATCAAAGTGAAAAATCTTAAATAAAAATTTTCCTTTTATTTTGAATGGGATATACAAATGGAGGAATAAAAATTCTTCATTTAAACGTACTGAGATAAAAATCTTTTTCTTTTCTTTATATATTTATATATAATAAGTAATAGGACTACCATAAATTTTTATGCTTATGCAAAAATGAACACGCAATAATAAGTACCCAATACTATATTAATTATTTTTTAGAACACATAATATTAATTTTTATCAATACTTAAAAATTGGATTTAGTGAAAATATGTAATTGAGATGCAAAGCTTGTATTTAGTAAGGTTTTTAAGATTGATGGATAATTTTTGTGTGGATATAAATACGAGAAGTATAAGTAACTTCTAGTTATTAGGAGTAATTAGTAAGATTTTTAAGATTGATGAATAATTTTTCCCATCATCAATTTTTTCTCTCCTAATTGTTGATCACATTTAAGCACTTTTTCTTTTCAATTTATCGTCCTTTGTTTTTAAATAGTTATATTATCAACTATTAATTTATTAAATGTGAAATTTATAATTTTTGAATAACAATATCGACAATGTTATATAAGGACAAGATGATAAACTAAACATTTTTCATCTGTCTCCGCATTTTATTTTTATATATATTGTAATTATAATTTAATTATATAAATAGATGAACGTTGATTTTGAGTGAAGCTCGTGTGTGTGTGTGTGTATTAAAGGTGACATTAATGAATAAATTAACTAAAATTTGATTTCATGCAGTCTTCTTTTAAGTATAGAGTTCATTTTTTATGTTGGAGTACTCATAATTTTATGTTAACTAAATTAACTTTAATCACTTAAAATCGAAACTTGTCTACATATATAATCATATTAAAAATCTAATAATTATTATTTTATATGATAATTAATCTACCATTATATTAATGCAATCTTTAATACATTTTATTAAATAATTATAATAAAATTACATCTATATATGGGAGCTTAGACTTTAAGTGGTAAATTTAATTTAAACAATGTAAGTTAAGTAATTAAACTTAATTTGATTAATGTAAAATTTTAAGTACTCCGATATAAAACAATAAATATTACACTTAATGATTATTAAATGAAGTTATATTATGCTAAATGGTACTATATTAAATATATAAGGATAGAATTGGCATATAACTAAAAATATAAGGGATTTTTATTAAGCGCACTAATTCAATTTATTCAACATCAACTTGAAAAATGGGTATTGTTTAAGGAACTCAAATGATGGCCTTAAATAACCATTCATAAAAGTTAAAAAATATTTTTTTTAATTTAATTAATAGCATTACACTTAATGAATATTAAATGAAGTTAAATTATATTAAATGACATTATATTA